AAGCAGATGCATGTGTTCAATCCACCATCTTTACCCACAGTAACATTTCAAAGCAACATGTTTACAAAGGTGGCAAAGGACTGGGCCAGAGTTCAGTGTGTCAGTAACAGCCTTTGGTTCATGATAAATCACAAAAGGAATATGAATTCATTAAAAGATGCTGTTGCATTAACAGTTAAAATGAAATCAGAAAATAATTACTAAAACATGAAAGGAAATTACTCATCTGATATTTGTGCCCCTTAGGAGAGAACTGTATCTTGTTTTGGTTTCCACATTTAAGAGATGTATGGAAAAGCCCTGAAATGGAACCAAAAAATGATTTACAAAACAGATTACCAAGCCTATGAGTAAAAGTTGTTTAACCTGAAGGCTAAGAAGTAACAATATTTTTCAGTATGTGACTGATATCCCAAGAGAAATACTCATTAACTACTCTGTTTCCATTACGGGGTAGCAAAAGAAAATAAGTCGAACCTGTACCAAGAAAATGAGCAATTAAACACTTGAATGGGCATTAGGAGAAAAAGATGAATTTCTCTCTTTGAAAATATTTACAAATTTTATCTGTGGAGTAGAAGGTAAACGTGGGCTAGATGACATCTGAATGTCCCTTCCTTCTTTGTACAGGTGATTTCTCATTACATTAATATTAATGTATACCTTCTATTACTGAGCTCATTCTCCAAGGAAGGCAAGCCACTGGTCTCATTTGTTAGAGTGACTGCCATGGGTTTGCCTTGGCAGATGGAATATGGGAGTTTGGTTTATGCAAGCTCCTATCTGAACTCTTCAATTTCCTGCCTCATTAAAAAGCATAGCCAAAAAACAGTTTAATTGATGAGAGATCCTTGAAAACAGAGAAAAGGCAATAAAAAATACAGATCTTTACAATTTATTTGGAGGTTTCGAAACATATGATTTTAAATTGTAGAGTATTAGAGCCAGGTTCAGAGAAGTAATTACCCACATGCTAAATGACTATTTCTGAGCATATCTTAAAGCTAGATAATTTATAGCTAGAAACAATTATTTTTAATAATTTTTTCTGTTTTACTAAAAATATTTAAAAACATCCCAAGTAAATTACTTATAAAGTTAATTCATACATAAAAGAGGAAATATTGGTACTGTGAATACTTGCATTTAGACATTGAAGATATTCAATATGTCTTAAATTTAAAAAAAAATACATATATATATATCAACAAATAGTTTGCAAAGTTTCAAGCTATAGTCATTGAATTTCATATTTGTTTATAAAACACCCAGTGTACAATGTGATGTAATAAAGCTATAACCACATTCGATGATTTGCAAAGTTATAACTACATATTAATTACAGATGTGTTTTATCTGTTGTTAATGGGGGAAAAAATGTATTAACATCAACCAAACCTGAGCCAGGCATGGATAGTCAGGTAATAAAATGTTTTCCTGAAAGGCCAGTGGTTTCTTCAAAGCCTCATTGGTCTCCCATCACTATAATCGATATGCAGTCAGAGACTCTGGTCCTAGGAGCCTTGTAATGTTCATTCTGCTTACTTTGTCATTTGGGAATGTGAGTGTAAGGTGATGACTCTTGATCATTTCAGCTAATATTCCACATTTGTTGGGGTTTTTTTTTCTCAATAATTCCATCTGAAAAAAAAATGTTTGTTTCACTTTCTTAACCAGTGCTTGGACCTACATTTTTTAAAACAAGTTGTTTTATTGAAAGCCCATTGAAGAATAGGTTTTTCTCAGGAATAATTTGCTCTTTATCAAAAAATATTTTAAATATATATATTTGCTGAAGTAAAATGTGTCGTTACAGTTTAACTAAATAAACTAAAATGAAGGAAAAGATTGGAGAAAATTGAAGTTACTCTGAACAAGGTCTGTATGATTTTGGCCTTGTATTTTTCTAACTGGTAGCTATAGTTTCTAGAATGTTTCTGTTATTTGGTCCTTGCTTGCAAATAAACACTAATTTAGTCAGTAAGCATTTTCTGGAAGATTTCTCAGCATCAGACCTATGCTGAATTTTTTTATATTAAAGATTTTTTTTCTTTATTGATTTCAGAGAGAGAGGATTGGAAAGGGAGAGAGAGAGAAAGAGACATCAATAAGAGAGAACATCGATTGGCCACCTCCTGCATGCCCCTCACATGACAAGGATATTGCCTTCCTCCAGTTTCCAATTTTAAATCTAGTTATATGCAGATTAGATATACATATTAGATTTGTTAAATGAGATATACAGAATATAAACAAACCAAGCAAGTTTAAATTAAAAATCCAATGATAGATTGTATTTATAATGGAACTTTGATGAATTTGCATTAATGATTTTACCAAATTAATTCCATGTAGTAGTAAAAAAGTAAAATTGAATATGCTTTTGAGATAAAATTTAACTGAACAATGACCTATATGGGATTAATAACCAAGAATTCTATAATAATAAGTATAATCCTGGAGTGATTGTTTTTAAAAAGTTCTGAGAAGGAATGTCTTGTAATCATATTGCATAGCAGATTTCTAATCATAAAATAAAGCTTATGATAAGATAATCTTTATATGCCCTGGCCAGTTTGGCTCAGTGGTTGGAGCATCAGGCTGTGGACCAAAGAGTCTCAAGTTAGATTCCAGTCAAGGGCACATGCCTTGGTTTCAGTTCGGCCCTGATCAGGGTCATGCAGGAGGCAACCAATCGATGTGTCTCTCTCATATTGATGTTTCTCTCTCTCTCTTCCTCCCTCCCACTCTATCTGATTATAAATGGAAAAATGTCTTCAGGTGAGGATTTAAAAAAAAAAAGAAAGATAATCTTTATAGACTATAGGGTTTATAAAAACATGGGTAATAGTTCTTCATGAAATGATCATCTCCTTCAGGTGCTCTCCGGGATTTCTGAATCAGAGCACTTGATGCAGAAAGGATAAAATGTCCAGTGCAAGGCCCTGCTTACAGACAACATTTAATATAGTTAATAATACGTTTTGTTTAGGAGTTTATTTTAGAGTGAAAATTCTTATTTATATTTTCATATACACATTTTCCTTGAACTTCTTCATTTTCCAAATCCTTTTGGTTTTGAATTATTAATACACCTTTGTTCTATAGTGTATATTCACTTTCATCCAAAAACATGGCTGACTTGTAAGTCTCTAAGTATTAATATTTGCATGCCACCTATGCCACCTATAAAGATACCCTCGTGGCCTAACAACTTAGCTCACCTGGGAGGCACCTTTACACGGATCCCTCTTCCTTCCCCGGATTCTTTCTTTAGGACCCAGGTGAACAATGTTAGGCTCTGGGTAGTTGGGCACATGAACAAAATGGTAAATGACAATGATGTATATGTTCCTTGAGAAGGTGACATTGCTTATTTAGGAAGTGTTCACTTCGTAAAGGTCAGATCACTCAATATTTACAAAATATATTTTTTTATGTTTGCAAATGTTCTGGATAATTTGTCTATTTCTCATAACGTGTGTTTTGAGTTGCAGTGTTTTCTTCAGGTTCACTGGAAAGTATAGGAACTTGTTTCACTCTGTGTACAGGTGGAATTCAGTGAGCATGCTCCTCTGCACTAACGTTGAACTTTTTCCTTTGCTCAAATCAGACATCCTTCCTACTGAAACCTTGACTAAATAACGGGTCTGACTAATTGGTAATTGAACCAGAAAAGAAAAATTAATACTATTGAGGGTGTATAAGACATTTTCTTTAAAAAGCAAAAATTACTTGTTGACAAAGTATAATATTTGCCCAGTGTAGAAATTAAAACTGAAATCACAGTGAATATGCAGCCAATGACCATCTTTTCAATAACTATACCTCTTTATTAATAATGCAGTTTTGTTCAAGGATATAAAGTGTCAGATACTATATGCATTATCTATTGCTGCATAAGAAAATAACTCAAGCCCTGACTCATGTGGCTCAGTTGGTTGGAGCGTCATCCAGTATACTGAAAGGTCTCGAGTTTGATTCCCGATCAGGGCACATACCCAGGTAAAGGGTTCGATCTTTGGTTGGGGCATGTACAAGAGGCAGCCAATCAATGTTTCTCTCTCTCACTCTCTCTCTCTCACTCTCTCTTCCTGTCTCTAAAATCAATAAAACATATCCTCAGGTGAGGATTTAAAAAGAGAAAATAACTGAAAACTTTAGTGGCATAAAAAAAATTATTATTTTGCATGTTTTGTGGGTCAGGGACTTGAAGGGTTGCTTGGTTGTGTGGTTATGGCGCAGGGACTACAACAAAGTCAGTTAGGATGTCAGCCAGAGCTGAAGTCATCTAGAAGCTTGGCAGGGGCTGGAAGATCCATGGCTGTTTGTAGGTGGCTTCAGCTTGTCCCATGTGGGTCTCTCCACAGGCCTTCTTGAGTGTCCTCACTGCACTGCGAGATGAGTGATCTAGGAGAGAGCAGCCAGGAAGGCATAGTGCCTGTGTGACTCAGTTTCCCTAGGGACACCCGGTCAATTCTACTTTTTCCTATTTATTAGAAATAAAAAGTAAGTCCCAGGCCACACTCAAGAATGGAGGAAGTAGGCTCCATCTGATTCTATTTGGAAGGACATGTCAAAGGATGTATAAACATATTTTGAATAACCACACAAACATTCACAAGATTATTGGAAAGTGGCTTAAATTTACTTCCAACCATTTTTTAATATGAGCCTGAATTCTCTCCAGAGATTAGTTAGATTCTAGGTTATCGTTCTGTCCGCCAAAGCAGCTGCATCTCTGAAGCACTGACAATTCTCAGATCCTGTGACCAGCACAGTTGGTGTGCCTCTGTACTCAGACAACTTCGTACAATTCATTTATCTGACCAATCAAAAATACGCTCTCAGCTAACAGACCGGTTGGTGAATTATATTTGCTTAAATTGAAAGGCAAATAGTTTTTTTTCATTACATTTCATGTAAAAAAATATTTGAAAATGTTTGACCTAAAAGTATTTTAATAACAGGATATATTATTTTCTCTTTCATAAATGAAGAGAGGGTGGCCGTGTTCCTATCCCAGCTCAAGCTACCAGCAGCAATGTTGGCTGCCCAAGCTCAGGGGAGGCCTGGCCCACCGGGAAAGGATGGATTACCTGGGCCACCAGGAGACCCTGGGCCCCAAGGTAAGTCTTCAAGTATAATATTTGCTTACTAGTTCATTAACACTTGGTATTTATAACATGCTAATCACAGTTAAGACTATATATATATATATATATATATATATATGCAATATATATGTATATATAAAATGATTTCATATAGAATATCTTGTTAATATTTGACATTCTAGAAACAAACTTTTAACTATCACTGCTTTGAATTTAAGACTGACAATTATCTGCTAATCTAAGTGTATTTTAATAATAATATTTGTTTTGATCATAGGTGCTTATATATCATTATTATCTGGGAATCTCAGAGTTGTTTTTGCTGCCCTGTTGATGTAAATAAACAAGAATCATCATCTTAGTTTCTTAAAGAAACTGAGAAAAAAGTCTTAAAAGAAGCTACTATAAGTCATGATTTGGGGCCAACATATATTTTTGAGAAAATTTAGAATTCTCCCTCTAATAGACTTTGTGGATGGTAACTTTTGAATTTTAAATAATTTCTCATAGGGTTTCTAAAATTTTTAAAGGAACACTTAAATTGGAAAAAAAAACAAAAAACTTGACAGCTTTACAAGAGACAAGATCTTGGATGTAGCTTGACTAAATTGATCTGGCAAGACCATTTTCTAGAAATATGTTAGCAATCAGCAAAGGCGCCAAATAGACTCTGGTTTAGAAGATTCACAACTCCAACAAGGAAATATTAAATCCATTGGGTACGTACTGTGAAAGATAAGACCAGAGAAACTGCCTTTCATCTGTTACCAAGGAGGACCTCAAGAGCCTGCCCTGAAATAATCAAAAGCTTCCTTAGGAGAAAAGAGAACATTAACAGCCAAAGTATGTCGAATACAGTGCACGATAGCATACGTGCAGAAAATTATTTTTCTTTCACTAGTTCACTTTCCTTCCTACTGTTCCTCTGTAACACTGAGCCTTGTCCTTGGTAGGAAGTGCCCCAAGGTGACTGACATGCCCTCTTATGGGGAAAAGCAACAACTATCCCCAGTTGTGGAGTCTGTTAGGGTCCTAACTTATCATCGAGAGTGACAAGTCTTCTGGTTTTGCGAACAACAAAACATTGTAAAACAACAATGGTAATATCACTCCAGTTACCCAAACAGTACATCCTATCTTTCCCTCAGACCATAGGTTTGCAGATAGTTGGAGGGAAAGTGTAGAATCAGGTGCAGCCTTCTGTGTGTACGATGATGTGTAGAGGGCGGTTCATGATTCTCTCTCGCTAGTGGGGTCTGTTCTGAAGTCAGAGTTCATGAGACTGGAATGAAGAGCTTGAAAGCCCATCTGAAGATGTATGATGAAGAATGGGGCTGTTAATACCCATGGGAGAAAAATCTTGGACAGATGCTTCAGACAATGGTGGTCTAAGAGAACAAAGACAATGGGAACTCAGGAAAACCATTCTGAAACTGGAGCCACCTGTCCATACACCACCTGTCTCCAGGCTCTCTTCCATGTAGGGAGGGCCCATCTGGAAGGCTCTTTGGCAACACTAAGTCCACAGTGTCATCCAAGCTTCGGGAATCCAGACTTCTATTCACCGTGTGACTTAACTCCTCTTTTGTGAAGGGTTTCTGTGGGTTCTCCCTGCTGTTCTGCTGAGGAGCTCTTAAAGCCTATCCACTCCTGGGAGGGCTTTCAGATGCAGTTCTTGAATTTGAAAGACTTCCCCAAATGATTTTCAACTTTTTTAAAACCAAGGTTTGGTGAAATTGACAAAACTTTTGTTTCACTTGAGGGTTTCTGTCTTGTCTGTAGTTCAGCTCGGTGGCTCCTCAGGGTTTGCCTGAGACCTCCTTTTCAGCATTTGTTAAATGCCAGAAATGCAGCAGAAAAACTTGCAAACTATGCAATTCATTTTGTAAGGAAAATTTGCCTTTCCTGTGCTGATCATTCTCTCTGAAGCCACAGAGAAATCTGACTGTAAAATGGAAACCCAGGGGCCACCGCTTGGTTTTTGGTGCCGCCCCAGGAGTTCACCAGGAATTCAAGCGTTATTCTCTGACAGATAAATAGATGTGCCGTGCTCAGAAGATGAAGAGATGCATGTAGCTTCAAAGCTTCGCTCTGCTTGATGTAAAAGTTTTCTCGCAAAGGAAATAAAAATTGCATGTAAAACAGTTACCCTAGTGACCGTGCGAACCTCGGGTGCTGCTGGCTGAATCAGTCCTCTTCATACACAGCCAGGTTGGGTTTGAGCACAGGTTGGAGGGAGAAGTGCAGCCTGGAAAGGGGCAGGAAGCCTGGGTGCGAGGCAGCAGTGTGTCTGCCCACTCACGAATTCTGTTTGATGGTGGCTCTTCTGAAATTTCTAAAAGAATTAGTTTTTCAGATAAGAAATCCATTTTTATTTGAAATAAAGTGGTTTGGTTTGCAATATGCTCCATAGAACAAGTCCCTTGCTATATTATTATGTTTAGCGAAGGACAAAAAATTTAAAGGGCCTGTCTCATTAGTGCCCATGCTTATTTTGAAAAACAGAAGCCGTAAAGAGCAAGGAGAAAATGGAGAGTATTAGAAGCATGCAATCCAACATGGAAAAGGGAGTTACTGCTCCTAGCAAGGTTGTGATCATGAAAACTGGGGGACCCTCTTTGAGTGCCCTGGTCTTGCATTGAAAATAGTGCGTCTTTCTGATTCAAGTGAGGTTGCCTCATTTGCATGTTTTCTAAATTCTCAAAGGGAGTGATTTGGGGCATTTTTTTAAAATTCAGAAGCATTTCCAGGCTGTTTTATATTTTAACCATCCTGTGAGCTTCTGGTTGCTGCCTTCCCTCTGAGCCCTGAGAGCATCTTTGGTGGTGTGACTCCCACCTCAGGTCTGCAGCGTGGGGCCTGAGCGCTTGTCCTGCCCGGGGTGAGCGGGGTTACACCCAGAAGCCTCCAGCCAGCTGGCTTCCCATGTATAAGCAAGAGAGGTGCATTTCCTAACAGACCTCAGCCTCTTGAACGAGTTTTATGAGAAAGAACTTTATTTAAACTTTTTCTGAAACCCAGAGGAACAGATGCCACACTTGAAAGCCCTGTCCATTCAGGGGAAAAAAAAACCCACTCTGTGCCCCACACGGTGTGGATAAGGGGTCAGGAGAAAACAGGTCCAGCCATTTCAGGTACCTTCCATCAGTTTTGAAATGACACTATTGGGAATGATTGTTCTTACGTTTGAACTTTTAAAGTTTAGCTGTTATTGGTTTATAATGAAGGAAACTAGCTGTTATTTGTAAGCCAGTGGCCCATAAGGTTCTGCCTGTGACTGATATAGATTTGACCTTTCAAATTTGTTGGCAGTGGGGGGCTTAGGTAATGGGAGGCGTGTGTGTGTGTCAAAATGACTGAAGGGCACTGTGGTCCATTAGTGGGAGAGACCGGGGAGGCCAAACAGCTTATAAGGCCTGAGGCAGGGCCCCATATGAAGAATTATCCCTCCGAAAATGCCAGTAACACTCCTTTACTGGTCTCATTTGTCCAGTATGGGTATAGATGCACAGATTTATAACTTTGAAAGAATATCCCTGGAGCTGAAATGGAATTCTCCCTGCTGGAAATAAATAAAGTCTACCACCTGAAAAACTACAGCAGCACCGGAGTTCTTCACTGACTAGCACCTCTAGGTGCTTTAGATTAAGACAGTGCTGTTGTCGGATTTCTGTTTTCCTACATACACTACAGTGATATCTGATGTCACCCCGCATACTTCCAGACCGTGAAAACACACGTCCCCTTGCAGAGAGACCCGCCTCTTAGTCTCTTCCAAATTTCAAGTGAGGCCTACCCCAAATGGTTGAAAAGCTTAGTTCTAGAAAGTAGGAAAGTTGTTATTGACTTTATGAGTATTCCGATCCGAAGTTTGGTTGTGAAGCAATTGTAAAATAAGACCCTATGATTCTATGGCAGCCTTCATATGTGATGAGCTTGGGATTTGTGCAATTCCACAGCTTTGTCTATTAATAGTAGGTTGTTATTGAACTAATAAGCTGAGAGATTTGTACAAGTAAATTATTATATTTGACAAGAGAAGTGTAAATGTTACCCCATTATACAGCTATATAAACGGTTGTTTCTTGTTTTGTGATACCATGTTGTCTTAAATCCATGTGAAATAATATATTTCTACCTTAATTAAAATCTGAAGACTGGATTTAAATATGGAAGTTTTAGCAGATATACCCTTCATTTGGAATTGTGTTACAGTCTTGTTAATCCTCCTGTTAATCAAAAGTTCATACAACTTTAGTTGTGTTTCTTTCTTCATTTTTCAGCCTGTGATCCTAAGCACTGACTGAGATAGCTTGAGGGTCAACTTTACAATCTTTTGGAACAGTAAAACCTAGGTTGGACTGTCAAATATACCTCAGGCATGAAGTGTTATTTTACTACAAAAAAGTTTAAATAATGCATTTGAAAGGGTGCTTTCAAACTGACCCTAAGTACAAACATTGTTTCTTGTTGTTTACATGTGTTCAATTAAAGTCACTTATATAAAAGAAATCCTGGGAATATTTTGAAGTTTAATATGTATCAACTTAGGTTATTGTGCCACCTGGGATCTAGGATTGTACTGAATATCCATGACATCATTTTCAGATATAAACATACGAAGGTTTTTCATTGGGTATATTAATGTGCACCTCAAAATATATCCTGAATGCATATTCTTCTTCCCACTATTTTCACGTTTATGGTCAGGTCACACTTCAAAGCCAAGGAATAATGATGCAGTGTTTACATTGCTAATGTTATTTGAATAATAATGTATATACTATAAGGTCAATTCAAGACTGTTAACCCTAAAATTATGTCTAATTCTGAACAATAAAGGGAAATATTTTGTTCTATATACTGTTCATAGGGAACATTAAAAGGTTTCCTCCTATTATGTTCAGCTGTAAAAACACACTTTTATAGATGGGCACAACTAAGTTAGGACCTATTGTTTCCTAATGAGATACTCTCCTGCCTATTAGCCTTGCTGTGTGTCTACATGATTCTGCATGACTGCTCTGTTCATTCAGGACCAGGAGTCATTTAAGTGTGACAAAGCTGGAAATTAAAACTCCATTTGTGAAACTCTATAGCCATAGAACTTTTTTTTCAGTCTTACATGGATGCCACTATATAAAACACAAGTTAAAAATGCTTTATGCTTTCTTAAAGCAGAGATAAGGGCTCCTAGAGGCACAAATTGCTTCTTTGTACCTGAGATGACAAAAAGCATATTCAGTAATGAAAAGGATTTTATCCTAAAATGTACAGAAATCCTTGAACTAATTTATTTTGGCTAAATTGATAAAGTGAGTTTGAAGGGTTCCTCAGTCTTGCTTTCTGGACCTGCCGAAGCGGCTCCTCCTTTGGAGTTGGGAACTGCCATGTTGAACATGGGGTTGCTGTTCTCACTGGACCACGAGGGACATCGTGTTGTTATCAAAGTCCTGATTTTGTCCTCTCCTGACTCCTAGATGGGTGGGTTCATGCATATTCATACTCCTGCTGTCATTTATTAAAAGGAATGAGTTTTGCCCTGGCTGGTGTGGCTCAGCGGTTAGAGCGTCGGCCTGCAGTCCAGAGAGACCCGGGTTCGGTTCCTGCTAAGGGCATGTACCTCGGTTGCAGTTTGTCCCCGGCCCTGATTGGGTCGTGTGGGTGGCAGCCACTTGATGTGTCCCTTTCACGTCGATGTTTCTCTCTCTCTTCCTCTCTCTCCCTCCCACTCAATCTGAATAAAAAAATGGGAAAATGTCCTCGGGTGAGGATAAAAAAAAAAAAAGGAAGGATTTTTGTTCCTTTCATTCCCTTTAATTCTTAGACTGGCTCCAGCTTTTTGTTGTCACCTTATTTTGCCCTCACAGCAAGCAGCCCTCTTTCCGTATACTTCTATTTAGCCCGTACCTACCCTCCAGTCAGAACTCCTATTGGAGACGCTCACACACCTCGTCATAGCTATTTGAAAGATTTGAATGATTGATTTGAGTTATTTAGATATCATTTTCAGTGCCTAGAATCTCATCATCAGACATCTGACTAGTTGCACTTTTTATAGTAGCATATTTCTAAGATCTTCATTGCCTATTGCACCTAATCTGTTTGATATGTAAGTTTAATCTGTGGTTCATGCAAAACAGATGGCTAAAATTGTACATTAGAGCTATATGTTAAGTGAACAAATCACAGAAATATCCTTGATCGGAAACATGGTTCTCATTGTGCGGTGCTGCCGTAGAATTCTCTCACTGTTTGCGTCTCTCTCTGTATTTGTCTCTCCCTTAGGCTACCGAGGACAGAAAGGAGAAAGAGGGGAACCTGGCATTGGGCTTCCAGGGAGCCCGGGTCTGCCTGGAACTTCAGGTAATAGTGATATTGATCGTTACAGCACAGCAGGCTTCTGAAATCAGGAACCGTGCCTTTCCCCCTGTGGCCCTTACGTGTTGCTGCAGGAGAGGTTGAGTCATCCATGTTGGTTGGAGTGAGGGAGAAAGAACCACAGGTGATCTGCATTCTGATGGGGTCTTTTATTTCATTAGCTCCAGGTTTGCCAGGCTCACCAGGTGCCCCAGGTCCTCAGGGACCCCCAGGACCTAGTGGAAGATGTAACCCAGAAGACTGCCTCTACCCTGTATCTCACGCCCATCAGCGGACAGGTGGGCAATAAACACACCTGAGGAAGACTTGATTTCCAGTGATATCTCCTTGCTCTTGGAGCTCTTAATGCTGTCAAACCCTCATGATATGTGGGTAGCTTTTTTTTTTCTCCGACATAGGCAGACATTAAAGGCAACAATTTGAATCCTATTCTTATAATAGCGATATCAGCATTTTTAGAATTTTTCCCAAATTCATTCCATATGTTTTGCTTCACCATTACTGATTTTTATTCAGGGTTGTTTTCTATGAAATACATACGCAAATCTTATCATTAGTTCTTCTTTAAGAGAAAATTACATTTTATGATTTAGTAGACTGATGGTGAGCTGCATTTGGTAGTCTCATCAACATGTATTTGGCCTCTGACTTCTGATTTTAAAGTTTCAGACTTATCTGGAGGTTTTCTTGGTGGTTAAATTTACTGCCATTGCTAAAAATTTTATCGTTTTTGACATAGTGCATTGCTCCTGCTGAATGATTTTTGACTACTTTTTTAGCTTAAGAATTCTTATACCATCCTCCTCCATCCAACTTATGCAGAGAAATAGATAGGCATTAAGAGTTTCACTTTATGACTTATATTTTGGGGAAAACAAAAAAACAAAACAGGAGGCTGTTTCACCAGGGGGCCCAAAAATTCATTATAGCCACCTACTGAAGTGATTTTGTTAGTTCTGTATAATGAGCCCAATTCAAAGCAGTCATCACCGGCATGAATATGTACGGCATGAAAAGGGAGGAAGGAATTACAGTTGTATGAGTTCCACAAGAAAAGCCTAACACTGAGGTCCCGTCACTGAGTTTCTCCATTGGAGAAAAAGAAAACTGTTTTCCCTAAGAGGTCTTTGGTGGTGAAGGCACCAAGCTGTCTTTGGTACTAGCAAGATCGTTGGGCCCCTGTATCCATGATCCTCTGACCTCATCACTTCAGACTTGAAGACAAGAACCAACCATCAGAACAAAGGACGAGACTTGTAGCAACTGGAAAAGAAACCTTCTTCCCTAGAAGACGAAGGTGTGGTGTGAGCAGATGCGTGGGAACAGGGTGAAGCCCAGAAGCTCTTCCAGAGAATCACGTTTCTCTGGAAGCTGCAGCCCGAGGTGCAGGGCAGCAAGGAAAAGCCCTGGGACTAAAGATACAAGTAGGACGCAGACCAAAGAGTTAACACCCACTTCAGGGGAAACAGAGGGCCTGCCAAAGACCACATCCTCTGCTGGGGAACAAAAATGCAGTGATCACCAACCAAATCACTAAAGGGTATTTTTATTGCCTAACTATACATTTATTTTGAGAAACTGTGGGTTGAAAACAACTGATTTTCTAGAACATTGGGCATGAGGATGTTGCTGAAATCTAACGGGTCCCACAGATGCTGACAGCCTGCCGCCCACAGCCCTCCTGCCACAGAAACCAGGAGGTCACACTTCTTCAAGGAACAGTGCAGATTCCAATTTGGCCTAAGCAGGCTAGGATGATTGCTTTCATCTGTTCATTGAAAAATGAGTTTAGAAAGGCAAACCGACTGAAATGGGAAAAGCTGTGAACAGAGCTGGGTAGGGAGCGTGCCTAAATTAAGACAGACTTTGTTCAAATGTGCCCGTGGGCTGAACAGGTTTTCATTGTAGATGAATGAACTGCTGGTCAGGTACTGTCTACATGACTGTGCATACATACAACCTTTTGGGTTTTTCATATTGAATTATGTTGTATATTTCAATTCTAAGTTTATTTATTTTATTTTCCGAGGTTACTTTATTTATTTCAAGTGTTTTTAACTTCAAATTGATTTTGTTCTTCATTTTCTTTCTTGTGCAATACCTACAATGGTGCTGTGTTTTAAACTTTATACAATTGGAATATACATATGCATTTTTTTTAGTAAAATGATAATTTATCCCAAAAATATATACAGAGATCTAAATCTGGTGCTATATGTATATCTTGAGATTTTAATTTGTTGAACTTTAATGTGTTGACTTTTCTGAAACTTCCAACTCATCTGCCATTTATTAATTTACTTGAATTTGTCATAAAGCTAAACATTTTGTTTTCAAAGATTATTTTTTCATAATAATGGGTTTTTTATCCTTATGACACCTTGCTAATCCAGAAATATTTATTTTAGCATTTTAATGTGTTCGTGAACTTTTTTGCTGGTGATGATCGATGTATTTTACTTTGTTTGAGTTGATTTTTTCATCTACATCAGAAGATTCTATTCATTTTCTTGTTTTATAACTTCTTTTTATTTTAATTCCACAGAATATATCATGCATCCTTTCTTTCAAATTGCATATTTAGGAACCTCCTCTTCTTTTTCTAAATACCATTAATGCTGGGCTGGTTTATTTCTGTTTCAAGAATTTGGATTTACTCCGATGATTTAAGTTGCGAGGGGGGGAATATAATGGTATATTGTATATGACAAAGTAGAGCTGTCACAATGATTCAAGCTCTCTTTCTATAACTGACACATGACTAAATGCACCTTTGACAAAACCAGAGAAATGGGGCTGTGTCCCCAAAGGGCGAGCCTTTCTCACCCCACTGTATCATTACCTTCCAACATTGTTCCTGCCTCATCTCCATGCACGTGATAGGTAAGGCTGATATAAACACCAAATACAGTGGAGATTTGGCATTTGCCTAATTTTTTTTTAATAAAAAAAGAAAGTGGATAATTTAGGCCCCAAAGTAGGTTAGGAAATTCTCTCCGAAATAACTTGGGTGGTTGCCAGCTCTCTTGTAATCATTTTATTCCATTCCAAAACATTTGTTTACCTTCATAGGTATCAATAATGTCCGCAGCAGGAAAGAAGAATTATCAAATTTCCTGATTTATCCCTTATTTGGATTCCAGATAACATATGTGTTTAAATACTAAATAATTATAGGCCATGGGGACAATTAATAATTCAAATTGTGTTTGCCCTATATACATATTTTGAATTTCAGTCAAACATTTCAGACCAAGATAAATGAACACTTCAGACAGAAATCCTTGTATGCAAAAAACAAGGTATAACATCAACTAATATTTATGGCCTTTGTACTCTAAAGAAAAAAGGAAGACTCATTCATGAGTTTTTGTCCATTATTCTTTCCTACTGGAGACATTAGCTTTTTGTTCCTAAGCATAAGAGAAACACAGCCAGTCTTCACCTTTGAAATTTTTCATCTTGTGATCAAAGTAATTTAGTTAATGATTTTAATCCCATATGCTGATTTCTGTATTTCATGACATTGTTGAAAATTCAAAATTTTAATCACTTATATTATGGAGCTAAAGTAATTAACATATGTTCTCTATAAAAGTTGTGATTTGATGTTTAGATTGTAAATATTTTTTAAGAGTATGTTTTAGGAGTTGAATAAGATTTAGCCTTTCTGCAGTCTCTCTCATCTGCTGAGAGCCTGTGATATACCTCCTTCTGTCCACAAGATGGTGTTTAAAAGCAATTTGTATTCAGAACTGAACAGACTTGCAGAAATATAAGGGTAGAAATAATTTAGTGGACAACTAAATCAGACCTTTGCCTTTGCACTTTTTTTTTTATTTTTGTAAATAATTTCTTGTTAACTTATGTTTTCTTCATTTGTTTTGTTAATTTATGTTTTTTCTCATTTTAAGTATCTCTGAAGCAGACAAAATAACCTTTGATTTGTTAGCTCTTTCCATTTTATTTCTTCAGTGGATTTATATATCTAGTTGCCTTGCAGATTTACTATTTGCAACTTTTGTTTGTAACTACCCTCGTGTCTTAGTGACAAATTCGTAAACACCTAAGACGCCATCCTGCTTTCATACAGGATATACGCTCTCTTTTTACAGGTAAAAAGCATTTAGCTTTAATACAAAATGTTGACCATTTATAAAATTACACACTGTCTAAATCTTCATATTGTTTAAGGTACTTAAAATTTTACAATTAGATTTGTATAATATTTACATTTTTCCAAAAGTAAGATATCACTCCTTACAAAAGTAAGGTAAGAAACACCATTTTTCAAAATACCATTTTCATTTTCCTAACATCGATGATAATAGCCTGAGACTGAGAATTTCTATGTTAAGTCATATGCTTAAATTTTTTAATGAATTTCCATACAAGTTTTGCAGATTTGTTTATTGCTCTGGTTCTTAAATTATTTTTCACATTTGTTCACGTCCACTTTCTTAAGAAAGAGTATTGTCATTGTTTCCTAATGTTCTTTCTTAACACTCTAGAGGAATGCACCCCCTTTTTATACGATTTTTCTCTCAGAGATTACACAGACTTCTAAGAGGAAGAGATGCAGGAAATAAATGCATTTGTATGTTTTATGCCTAGGTACTGCAAAGTGACTGAGCCCCTTGAATTATATTCATTTGCTAGTTGGCTGGTAAAGGTGGCATTAATTACATTAAATTTGTTTAACTACTAGGAGTCTCAAGAAACAAGACAAATGGATGTCTTCATTTTCATTATATAGTGTACCCAAATATTTTTCAACAAAATTATGCCAGAGTAATTCATCATTTTAGTTAAATTGAATAAAGAACAAGGTGAACACAGAGAAAACTCATTCAGGCAAATAGACGCAGAACAGCAAAAATTTACCTCAAAGATAAGGCGGGCTTATCAAACCAAAGCCAACCAGGTTGCTTCATGAATTTGTCAACCACAAATCCTACCAGTAAAGTAGGAGATTTCACTAAACTTAGGGGGTAGTTTAATAAGATTTAAATTTGTCAGAAGGGTGTGTGTTGCTTGACGATAATAAGCTTATGGGTGTAAAAAATAGTAATTACCATTCTTTATTTTGCTGTATTATTTGAAGTATATTTTAGGGATAAATATTTTTCAGCGTGTTCATGTATTTAAGTTCAGATTGTTTTATGGCATATTTTATGACTGTGCGAAAATTAACATTTTCCCATGTTGTGTGTCCTCTCTCTTACCTCATTGGACTATTTAAGATTGAATTCAACACACTCATGTTAAGTGGAATGACACTGGTTTTATTCTAGTCTCACATGGATATAATGCTTTGAGGCCTTGATTTCTAAATATACTCAAGATGCATAATGAGCTTGTCGCTTATCTCAGCAATAAAGAATTTGACCCTGAATCAAGGAATTCTAAGGTGCAGTTATTCACACCATGTCTACTCCTCACCACCTCCTGTGGTCCATGCGCCAACCTGAGCTGCACTGTGCTCCGAGCCACACAGAGGCCAAGAAGCCTGTGAATTGGTCTTCTGCAGAGTTCTTGTTTATACCGTGCTGGTAATTATAGTTTGGTTTGTCACACAAATCAACTCTTAGTTCATGCTCATTAAGTTTATAATTAATCTCCATAGCAGCTCATGAAAGGTCTGGTCTAATGATTTGGATGAGAATTATAAGCAGAGGCAAAAGTCAGAGAGCAGACAGTCCTTTGTGACTTCTGTCCCACAAAGCGATCTCCTCCCTAAAGTCAGTCGGGACTCCCTGGAGTAGAGGGGCCTGCGCAAGATAAAAAATATCACAATTCACTTATAAATATAAGCTCTTCATCATGAATGATAATAGGCAATAAGTAGTTAAATACACAGCATGTTTCCTCAACAGAAATTCACTACATTAAAACGTGCCACGTGGATTTCTGTGTTTACTTATCAATGACACACTTCTTAACTGTTCTCATCCTCAGGTCCCCTTCGATGTAGTAAATCAACCAGGTGCGCTCTTAGGAACATTCCTAAGTCTTTCACACACAGATTTTCGACTTGGAGGGCAAAGACAAATTCAAACGACTCTTTAAAAGCAAGTCCCTTTCTCGGACCCAGCTTCCCTCATCTGTTCTCTCTCTAGTTATTCTTAGACCACTTGGTTCAAGAGCAAAATGTGAAGGCGTGTTAAGGGGAAAGTTAGCATGGATTGCCATTTATTAAGACTATTTATAATAATATTATTAAGGTGAAAAATATAGCAGTCAGCATCCACTGTCTGATTATCTGACGGATATGGTACACGTCCTCTAGTTCATCATGTAAAGAGCATCTGAGCACGTGTGCGTGTAGTCATACGTTTGTCCAGGCGCCAATTTTGACTGTTCTCTGCGCCCCGTGGACTCGATGCTGCCAGGACGCCAATCACGAGCTCACGGAAAAGGACTAAGCACACAGCTGAAATGTATTCATGACTCTTATGAAAAGAGAGGCCTTGACCTGTATTGATTGAACACAAATATTCTTTTTAAAATACATATATTTAAAATCTTTTCTGTCCATTGCCCATTTGTAAACAGCAAAATTACTAGTTCACTCGTATTATTTTTCTTATAGTTTTTTCACTCCTTGTGTCAGGGCTACCAGGATATGCCTAAAAACAATTCCCTCGATATTTGATATGACTTTATCTATTTCTAGGGATCTCCCCCATACTCGTTTATGTCAAGATTATTGTACATCAGAGACGCCATAACCAAAAATTAAATAATGCAATCAGAGGTGATCTTCTAAAGAAGAGATTTACATTAAGCTTATTTCAGGTTGCAAATAAATTAGATTTAACTAACAGTGTTTAAGAATAGCAATATTTGTTTAGTCAGATTGAAATATAAAGTGTCTGTGAATAATCAAGTCAGTCACATAATTGATAGGCCTACTCATTCAGCCTCTTCGGCTAGACAGAGGTCAGCTGTCCCAAACCATGCCAGTGAGTTTATGTGCTCGGCCAGACTGGGAAGAGATTTCCATGGTTCTTAACTAACCGGTCAGATATTTGCGATGGAAGCACATTGCAATGCCACAGAAGTACTGACTAGAAACAGAGCAGAAATCACTTGCCCCCAAATAGCATGCCCTTTACTAACCAACTTTAATTATTCACACACTCCTCTCTCAGCAAGTGCCCCCGGGGACACGTCATCCCACTTTTAGAAAATAACTCAAAGAAGTTTTGGAGACTTCTATTTTGCTAGAGAAAGATATTTGGTCTAATTCAATATTCATCAACTCTCACAGTGAGGCTTTGCTGAACACTTTGCAATTTCTCAGTCAAGTATTTACTGCTTCCATAAACTACTTCAGTTAACCAAGTTTAACATGGATTGTTCCCACCACTGGGGTGGGCTAGTTTTACATAATCTATTTGTAAGTACTTGTTGCCAGTATTGCCCATGGTGTCTGTGGGGCTTGTTGTGCAGTCTTTTATGTATCGAGTTTGTAAAACATTTAAATGAACTTCTTCTTTCAAAATTTTTTTAATTTTCTTATGAAGATTCTATTGCAGAACTGAGAAAAATATTTATTTGGTTATCTAATTTTTCTTTCATTGTATTCAATTATATCGCTCCAGTTAAAATAAAACCAGCTTGGTGTAAAGACAAGGCAGTTTCTTTGCATTTATTTGATTAGATGTCACAGTACCTGAAAAGGTTTGCCATTCATATAAATATTATTTCAGGTAGTTAAAACAGATGTCTCTATTTCCAAAACGTATCGATGCCACACGAAGGAAGACCATCCTTCTCAGTGTGTAAATAGCACCGATCTGTGGAGCCCACTTGGAGTCTTTCTCCTTACCCACAGTCCATGCTGGAAGTCCAGAACTAGAAACTGTAAGCAGTTTGAAAGGATTTCAAAGACAGAGGACATAATGATTGATTTAGCCAAACAAATAGGACTAAACGTTTCAAATGAATAGAACATACACACAAGAAAAAAAAGATTATCAAAAATCCTATTAGGGCTCACTCCCCTTGACTTGAGAGAACTGAGTTCCGTAAACTAAGGAAGACATGGACTGTTTTGTGCACTGCTCTGTGCCCGGGGACAAGCCCCTCATATGCACGGTGACATAAAAGGACTGCATTAAGTCTCATCAATCATCTATATAGATGTTGATAAAACAGCAAGCCAGTGGGATTACATAAATAGTAATCAAGGGCTTGAGTGGTCAGGCAATGCCTAGCTTATTCATAAGAATCCAGTGCTTTGGCTGACTTACCTTTACAAAGTGTGTATGAAAAATGGTAAAACAGTCATTTTGCAGCAGTGAGGTTCTGGATGGGAGGGAGCTACAGACCAAGGCAGCAGTTTCTAACCTAGAAATTGAGCAGGGCTAGATTTAGGGCGCTCATCAAGTCTCTGAAATAATCTAAAAACATGTTTGTCCAAGGTTTGGGTCCATAGCTTTCATTAGAATTTCAAAAAGGTCTATGAAGCTCCCTGTCCCACACCACACACACATATACAAAGAATTTCTGTCACTGGGTAGCACCTTCAGGGGAACAGTAAAGGCTTTTTAATTTCTCTATAGAAAAAAAAAAAATCACTAACATAAACATATACCTAGGGAAACAGCAGTCATTTACAAATTGTAATGTATCTAAATACGTTCAGTGACTTCTGTTTATTGAACATGATTATTTACAAGAAAACATGCAAGAGATTAAGAAACCATATTTATTTCTTCTTGGGTACAACCAGAGACGTTACCTCAAACCCTTAAAATAAATAATCTCATCAATAAATCTTACGCATGACAGGATATTAAATTCCTTCTTTACTTTCACATAGAAGAGCTCAAAATATTAATAGATTTGGGGTACAGTACAGTTCAACAAGAATTCAGGCTGACCATGGAAACCAACATGTGCTGTGAGGAAATTATTCCACGTGGCACAGAACCTTCTTGCCACTTCAGAAAGAGCACATTGATGGGGACTTTAAGCACCGTTTCTATGGGCTGCAGTGGGTTTCTTCCTAACTAGTCTGTAATCCTCTGTATAGCCAAACAATAATCTGAAAACATCTAAATACAAATGAAAATAACTACTGCAACTGAGGTAAACCAAACAGTTGTTGCTGTTGATCGGCACAGTGGCCCACAACATAATCACGTATGTATAGCACTCTAACTTCAAGATCCTGGGAACAGGATTATAAATTTATTTAAAGGGAGGTTTTGTTTGTTTTTACCAATGACTCTGCTGTCTCTCCTCCCAGGGAAAGGAAAGAGGATTTATTGAATAGCACCATTGTTCTAAATCTGCTTGTCAAGTAGGACTTCTGTCATAATGTTGAAGGTGATACACTGTCGTCTCTTGCCCCAGCTTCGGGTGGTCCCTTTCCTCCAAGCGCCTTTGCCAGGGGTGGTTATGCGGACAGCTGTGCAGCGCTGAGCCTCTCACTGATCTGGCCCTTTGCTGAAGGCTCGCTGACCAGCCTGCAAGGTGCAGGAGGCTGGCTCGCAGAAACCAGGGGGGCCAGGAGGGCCCGGGGGGCCGGGCACACCAGGAATCCCTGCCACCCCCGGAGGGCCTCGCTCGCCATCCCGGCCATTCCTTCCAAAGCTAGCAGGACCTGGATCACCTGAAACACACACACAAATTGCAATGTGAACAGAACACTCAAGGCTGCAAAATGGCAAAAGGCACTAGACCCTGCAGCCCAGCAGTATGTACGTAGGAGCTTTCGGAAATGACGGATGATGATGGGTGATGATGATGATGATGATGATGATGATGAAGTTTCTTCACTGGACTTGGGTGTCTTAGAAATTGAAAGTGGAGGACCTCGGCATCTCTAACCCACATTTCCATCTGTAGACCTGTGCTGTCTAATATGGTAGCCTCTAGCCACATATGTCTATTGAGCTCTGAAATGAGTCTAAGTCAAAATTAGATGAACTATAAGCATAAAATTCACCTAAACTATGAAGACTTCATATGGAAAAAAATAAATAAAATATTTCATTAATAATTTTTGTATTTATTACATGATATGATATTTTGAACACCATGGGTTAAATAAACTATATTATTAAAATTAATTCCACCTCATTCTTTTGACATTTTTAATATGGCTACTTGAAGATTTTTATTTTTTCATAATCCCGAAACTTTTTTTATTTTATTAAATGTATTGGGGTGATATTGGTTAATAAAATTAAATAGGTTTCAAGTGTATAATCATGTAATACATCATTTGTATATTTGTTATGTGCTCACCACCCAAAGTGACCCCTTTATCCTTTACTGACCCCCCCCCTTGCCTCTGGTAACCACCACGTTGTTGTCCGTGTCTGTGAGTCTTTGTTTGTGTGTCCTGCTTATTTGTTTGTTGCTTTCACATTTATATCCCACATGTTTTCCATCTAACTTATTTCAAAGATTAAAATTCACACACAGGCACAGCTAGCAGCTGTGCTCCCACTTCCTCTCCGGCACAGCGCACGGAGTGCGGCCCTGATTCCAGGTAGGCGGTCAGCGGACACACAGACAGGAAGGAGTGCAGCTCAGCGGAGAAGCAGAGGCTCTGAGACAGTCATGGCCCCAAATCTAGCTCGGCCATCGGTGGATAGGGTGACATTAGCAAGTCACTCATTTCTCACTTTCTGATGGGATGGTGCCTTCCTTCTAATTAAATTCTATGCCTGAAAGCATCTGATAAATGGGGACCATTATTTTCATTATAAGGATATTAACTGATTCATATCTTTAGAAAACGGTGCACCGCACCCTACGTAGTTCCATGGCAGTCCTGTCCGGTGCCTACTCCTGCACCAAGTCTCAGTTCTTCCGGGGCATGTCTTCCTTTCCTCGTGCTCCAAGTTGTTTGGTTTGCCCAGTAAGTCACCCCTAACAAAGAGGGATTTCTGGTTTATTTATGAAAAGCTCATCCAGCCCTGGCCAGTTTGGCTCAGTGGTTAGAGTGCCGTTCCACAGACCAAAGAGTCACGGGTTTGATTCCGGTCAAGGGCATGTACCTCGGTTGTGGTTCAAGCCCGGCCCTGGTAGGGGTTGTGCGGGAGATGACCAATCAATGTCTCTCTGTCTCTGTCTCTGTCTCTGTCTCTCTCTCTCTCCCCTCCCATCCCCCCCCAACTCTATCTAAAGATAAATGGAAAAAATATCCTCAGGTGAGGATTTAAAAAATAAAGAAAGTAAAAAAGAAAAGCTCATCTAGCCTAATCTCCCTCTGGCAAAGACAGCAATTTACCCTTGAGAGCTTTGGGTGATGTCGTCATTATCATCATCATCATCATCGTTGTCATCGTCGTCATCACATCACATAAAATGCTTTCCCTTTACCCTGCCCGTGCACTGTGCTCATTATTGATGCATTTTCTTCATGTGCAACCTGAGAATTAGGAAGGCTAAACGATTGTCCATCATATAGCTAGAAAGTGTTGGAGTTAGAAACAAGGGTCCTTACCCACTACCCTAACCTAACTATATGTCCATAACTAATGATCTGCTAATTCTGCTGAGGGTGTGTGTGTGTGGTGTGTGTGTGGTGTGTGGTGTTTTGTTTAATTCATTGGGCCTGAATTGACCAGAAAATAAAAACAGGCACAATAGCCAAGAGTTAGTCTTCATTCTTCTAGGACGCTACCTATCATAAGAAACTAAGGATATTTTTCTGAGGATTAGCTCTGTAGAAATGGCCAGAGGAAAAATAAACCAGCCTTCATGCCCTGACACTGGGCATTTGCTCTGAGGTGCTCCAAAATTATTGTGTGAGCGCTAATTTGGGAGTAAAACAATGTCACAGTCCAAGGCATTCAAGAAGTCCAGCAACTGCATGAAAAATATCTATAAACTACTTTTCAATTCTAAAAGCACAAAACTTAAATGTTCTCATTCTGCTTTGTCTGCCTGGTGTGTGTGCTAGCTACACCAACTGCCTAATGACTACGCAGTGTTCTGACATTTCAAGGACCTAGAAAAATGGTATTGCCAAACATTTCATATTTTTTTAATCTGAATGTCTATGTCATTCTCCGTGCAAACACTAGAGGGTAGTCATGTTACATCAATGGAGGCCCAGCCCTGTGGGAACATTCTGAAAGAAGGATCTAATGCAAGCTGCAGAATGAAAGAGAATGTGTATGTAGACTTTATTTTTTTTTTAATCCTCACCTGAGGATATTTTTTCTATTTAACTTTAGATAGAGTGTGAGGTGGGGAGAGAGAAACATCGACGTGAGAGGGACACATTAACTGGTTGCCTCCCACAGGAGACCCTGACCAGGGCCGGGGACCGAACCACAACCCAGGTACATGCCCTTGACCAGAATCATACTCAAGACTCTTAGGTGCATGGGCCAATGCTCTAACTGCTGAGCCACATCGGCCAAGGCTGTATGTAGACTTTAAAAGAAAACAAAACAAGGGAAAATGGCGGCAGAGTGAATGGAAGCTACACAGACCATCTCCCAGGACCAAACTGAAATTACAAGTAAAATAAAGAAAAATCGTCAGGAAAAGGCAACCGAAAAGCAGCGTGGAGGACCACATAACCAGGGACACGGACTCAATCCAGGTGGGCTTGCGAAGACGCGAGAGGGGGCCGGGAGCCCACAGTTCGCAGCGGCCTGGGCTGGGACCTGCAGCCCTGGTGGGGACCTGCGCCCTCCGCTGGGAGCTGCCACAGCCTCGGCCAGGAGCGAAGGCCTTAGCTGGCAGCAGCGCCCTCGGGTTAAAGTCGCAGGCGGCTCCACAGCACAGAGCCGGGACAGAGGCTAAAAAAGCCACAGCCACTCACCTTGGGCTCCGGCAGAGGGAGGGCAGACTGGACTGGAACTGTGTGGGGACACTCGGGGTTTGGAGGGCACTCAGAGCTATTACTGAGTTGCAGCCACACAGGACTGTGGTCATCTTACTCCTTCCCAGGGCCCTGGGGAGAGGTGGCAGCCCCTCCCTGGGAGATTCAACCCCACCCGGTGGCCATAGAAATGCTAATTGTGGCCCATTAACAACCAGCAGCTGCCCCACCCTCGGGAAATCCTCTTACACCAAGCACCTGAGGGAGTTTTTCATTCAACTGAGAAGCCAAGGTTCTTCAGGTGACCTCTACTAATAGCCTCCAGGCAAAAAAGCTAGAGGATAACTACCATTCCCTGGGCTAGCAACTCTAACCAGGAAAGTAAGACTTGACAGTGGTGTTTAAAGTGGGTCCTCCCTGCCTCATCCAAACCCAGGAGAGGGAGCCACAAACAGCAGAACACCAACACCCACAGGGAAAATTTGGCAGGCCCCAAAGCCCACTGTGATAGCCAAAATGGTGAAACACAGAAACAAAAGCTAAATGAAAGAACAAGAGAACTCTACTGAAGATGAGATAAATGAGGTGCAGTTAAGCAAGTTAACAGAACTAGAATTCAGAGCCATGATCTTGAAGAAGCTCAACAGCATGTGTAAGGACATGAGCACCATGAGTAAAGACATAGAAATGTTGAAAATCAACCAGTTGGAAATTAAAAACCACCAAGAAGAAATGAAGAATGACATATCAGAAATAAAAAACACATTGGAAAGTCTAAATAGCAGAGTAGAGGAAGCTGAGGACCAGATCAGTGAATTAGAAGATAGGGTAGAAAAAAAATGAACCAATCAGAAAACCAAAAGGAAAAAGCAATTAAAAAGTAGGAAGACAGCTTAAGAGAACTGTGGGACAACTGGAAACGTAATAACATTCGCATCATAGGAGTCTCCAAAGAAGAAGAAAATGAGCAAGGGTTAGAATATATTTGAAGAAATAGTGACAGAAAACTTTCCTAATTTGGTGAAGGAAGAAGGCATTCAAGTTCAAGAAGCACAGAGATCCCCATGTAAGAAGAACCCAAACAGGCCCACACCAAGACACACAGTAATCAAACTGCCAAAAATTAAAGACAAAGAAAGAATCCTAAAAGCAGCAAGAGAGAAGCAACAGGTTACCTACAAAGGAAACCCCATAATGGTCTCAGCTGACTTCTCAACAGAAACACTACAGGCCAGAAGGGAATGGCATGAGGTAATCAAGGTCATGAAAAACAAGGATCTGAATCCAAGACTACTCTACCCAGCAAGGCTATCATTCAAAATAGAAGGTCAAATAAAGAGCTTCCTAGACAAAAAAAGGCTAAGGGAATATATTAGTACCAAACCAGCACTTCAAGAAATGTTAAAAGGACTGCTGTAATTAGCAGGAGAAATAGGAAGAAAAATAGAACCACACTAAACAAAAATGACAATAAATAAGTTCATATCAATAATCACCTTAAATGTAAATGGATTGAATGCTCCCATAAAAAGACACAGAGTAGCTTATCGGATAAGAAAGTATGACTCATCTATATGTTGTTTATAAGAGACCCACCTCACAACAAGACTCACATAGGTTGAAAGTGAAGGGATAGAAAAAAAATCTTCCAAGCAGACGGAAAGGAAAAAAAGCTGGGGTAGCAATACTCATATCTGATAAAATAGATTTCAAAATGAAGGCCATAACTAGAGACAAAGAAGGCCACTACGTAATATTGAAAGGATCTATCCAACAGGAAGATATAACCTTGATAAACATATATGCACCCAATATAGGAGCAC